ATATATATATATTGATTCTCTAAATGTTCAAAACCATTTTTAAGAAACTATAAATAAACAGCACACTTAATACTTCATTCTGGCGTACTTTAATATTTTAAGACAGTTAGGAAGCTAGTATTATCAAAACAGAAGTAGAACGTAGTGTGGTATCTGAACATCGCCAGGCTTCTATAATTCAGGAAATACGAACTGACTTCAAATTCGAAGTCATCGACCTCCTTTTTATTGATATTTGTTTCTGGTGTGTTGGCTTTCAAACATTTGTTGGAATGCCTTCCATGTGTTCAGTGTGTGGTTACATTGGATGTTGTGTTTCCTTCTGATAAGAGGCACAGGAAGAAGAATTACAGTTAAAATGTAAAAGAAACGTACTTCGTGGATGTGATGAAAGTATTTTTCAAGCAATCCTTTTCAAAAACTGAATCGGTTCATTTACGTTACAATTGTTATTTTATTATTATTTTCATGCTATCAGTTACGAGTTACTTGTAAGACAGTTGAGTACTGAACTGTAGAAAGTATATCGTATTTAGAACCACAGAAATCCCGAATCTAATGCTGTATCATTTCCGTAATGTGACAAGTTGAAGTCATATTTTTATTACAAAAAGTACACTATAATATTATATATTATAAATTGTTTTCAAAGCATACATTATACATTTAATTAACTATACTTACAATTTACTTGGATCAACAATAAATTCAAGTTCATGTGCATCTAATGTTTTAAAATCATTATTAGTGTTATTTTATTGTCTCAGTAGACGGCATTTTATTATATTAGACCTCTAATATACAATATTAACATAATCTTTACTTAATAAAACTTTTATGGCACGTAGACAATGTTGAAATTGCAATTCCTAGACGAAAAAAAGCTGTTTTGTAATTGATTGCAAAATATATTAAGTGGATTATAGATAATTAAATATTCATATTTAAAACACCAGTATCTGCTCTCTTATAATTGATTTGTCATTGCAATAAATTTACATTCAGTATTACGCCAACGTGAATTGTACTTTCAACCCATTCTGATTCATTCCCACAAACGCTGAGTTATTTTCATGACTCTTCGACGTGATTAAAAAGCAGAAACCGTCAGTTTTCCTATATGCTCTGCGAATAACAATAATGTAATGCCGATGTTCCGAATCCCCAGGGGAGCCCCCAGCTGCGCAAACAGTTGATTTATGTCCCGACGATCTGACAGCGCGCGATTTGTATCAGGCACCAAGCGACCGACCGACAGAGACAGCGACATGGCGAAGACCTCCGAGCGCGCAGCGGCTGCCTGGTGCGTGCGCCTGCTGTGCGTGTTGTTGGTGCTGGCGGCGCTGCTGGAGGCGGCGGCAGCCAGGGGCTCCTTCCAGAAAATCCCCTTCAACGGCAGCATGTTCGGGAAGAGAGCGGCCGCCACCGGTATGTTACTTACGGGAAGCGAATTTTGCTCGATTCTTTTGCCTGCTTCAGTCTTATGCGAGGCTGTTAGCCCTAATCTTTATTATTTCATATTTTTGTCTGTGTCTCAGGAAAGTTTTAAATTAATAGTAATTCTTGTTGTTTAATTTGTTCTAGAGGTTTTACTTTTTATTTTCCAATCTCAGTGCATTCAAAAACTGCGTACTATAATCACAAATACTGAATGATTTATGTATTAGTAAAATTCGATGTATTTCGTATTTTCATGAAAGGAACTTATGAAAACCAGTGAATATTTACGAACGAAACATTCTTGATATCTATTGTTCATGGAAGTACAAAACGTAAATTTTGATTGGTTCAGTCAGAATATTGAAAGAGAATAATGGTACTCAATTGAATGCGCCTATGATAATACACAATCAATGCAATTCAAAACAAGCTACATTTGTCGATGCAGAAGTTGTCAGAAGAATTATAAATGGTCGAGTGGTCCTCTATCCACAAAAAGTCCCTACTCGACTAAAAGCCATTATTTGTGACTCTCGAATTCCACTCCAGCGTGCGTCAGAATTGAAGAGGCACTTTAACATAAAATTTAAAAATTGGAATAATTAGCTCATTCATTCCGTTAGAACAAATGTGTTAAGCACAGCGCGAGAAGGAATATTTCATGGGTCTCAGCGATACATTAAATCATTCAGTGAATCAATCACTCACTTTATCTCGAACACAGTAAATGTTTCCTTCTCTTTCCGTATTTTCTGCTCTCCATCAACATTACTGCAAAATTAATATCACAAATATGAAGTTTACGCTAATGAAAATTATTATTTGTTTGAATTTATGAAGTTCATAGCGTTCTGTGTATTCCCAGCTATGCGTGAAATCACGCCGCACCTGTTTCTCACATTACCTCGCACGTAGAACGTTTTACATTTACTTCCCACTTTGCCACATTACGATATTAACATGATTCTATTTAACTTTCAACAATGACATTTACATGAACATGGAGTTGGTGAGGTGGAGCTTTTAAAAAGATTCATCTTGTTCAGCAATTATTGCTGAATACTAAGCGCAAAAGCATATTTCCATCGTTTGTCACACATGTGAGACAAAGTTCTCGATGTCATTACAATTACGTTTCCAGATATGATACCACTTACGACTTATGAGGTTATTGAAAAATAAGTTTTTATTTTGTGTAGCCTTAGAAATGCCTAAATGAAACATAAATGAACATGACATGGAGGAGGGTCCACTGAAAGTCTTACTGAGAAAAACTAGTAAGTCTGTCATGACATTTTGTGGGTCTGGTTGAAGGGCTATCTTGAAAGAGGCCAAAGAGTATATTCGATTTCTTTCTTAACTGACAAATCATTTTCCCACGATCATTGAAATTAAGATTTCAAATTTTGTTTACTGTTTAGTACATGAGTCATAAATCAGACATTTAACTAATTCCTCCATCGGATTTTTAAACAAAACTATTGTTTGTAAACGAATTTATAGTCTCAAACCATAATTTTTGCACATGGCTGATGATGTGTTTGATTTAGTGCTGCCTGATTTTGAGAATTTTCTCCTCAAATGGCCGAAACCCGCTTTTGAGGAGAACATTTAGAAAATTAAAATCTGGGGAAAATATCTTGAAAAATGTAATAAGATAAACATTGAATATTACTTAAGTAATTATGTTAGAAAATTAAAGTATAAAAATAGTGAGTTAATTAATAAAATTCAAACGTATAAACGATACACATACGTTTAGTTAGCTCCCCTTCTAAAAACAAAAGGTACTAATTCAGAAGAAAATAATTTACTGTTTTTTTCAACTGATGACTGACATATTTAGAAAACAATTTAACGATTCATTCGGCAAGGAATAGGAAATAGAATAAATAAAAAATAATCTTTTGACATTTTAGAAAATGTTTCTTCCCACAATTACCTTTAGAGGTTATTACACACAGCTTTCACGGGAAAATGCTCTCAATGCACTCATGCGTGTACACAACACACATTGTATTCACAATACACATTGTATTCACAATACACGTTGTGTTTACAACACACGTTGCATACTTCTGTCAGCACCTACCACATGTCTTACACAGTGCGGGGGAGAATTCACCCAGTGCTTTAGAATACACCTCCACTGTTTGAACCCTGTTCGCATCGCGATCAGTCACATCTATTCCGCGTCGCCGCGCTCTCATGTGGACAACGGGCTGCTTTCAGAGTATGAGCTGGGCCATGCGCTGTCTGCAATGTGCGAGGCTGCGGCGGCGGCTTGCACCGCGTGGACCCAGCCCGACAAATGAAGCTCGGCCCCGCCCCCGCCCCCGTCACCGGTCGCCGCCTCCGCCTCCGGTCCGTGCCGCTCCGCTCCGTCGCCGCGCCGTCTCGTCGCTGCGCCGCCCCCACCGTTGCGCGCCGCGCTACTGCACGCGCTGCGTTGTTTGTTTTTTTTCAGCTCCGAAAATAAAAGCAATTGAATTACTGTAGACGGAGACTTATTCATGAATACCCTGAGTTCCTCTTTGCCCTGTTTGCTCTCCGAAAACGAGATACATCATACGCTCCCTGAGAGAGAGGAGAGAGGAGAGAAGAGAGAAAGAAGAGAGGAGAAAAGAAGAGAGAGAGAGAAAGAGAGAAATAGAGAGAGAAAGAGAGAGACAGCGAGAGACAGCGAGAGACAGAGAGCGAGAGACAGATAGCGAGAGACAGAGAGGCAGAGAAACAGAGAGTCAGATAGATAGATAGAGATAGAGAGAGAGAGAGAGAGAGAGAGAGAGGGAGGGAGAGAGAGAAAGAGCTCCTTCACGTGAGCAAGAAAGCGCGGAGTAATGGCATCAACGAGCAAATATTTGTGAATGTTATAAACATCGTCGGGCAGTTATTAGTAGTCGGCGAAGTTGCTATATGAATGTTGAGAGTAGATGAGGTTGGAGAAAGTTTACGTGAAATAAATGGGTTTATTTTGAAGCTCTATTGTGACTGCTTCCGAAGCCTTTTGAAGGATAACTATTATAAAACGAAAGAAAAACATTGCGTGGAACGCGAAATAAAGCTTTTAAAATTAATAATTTTCTCATGTTTTGTGTTCATATTTATTAACAAACGGGCAATGTTATTTTTTAAGAATACTCGATTGAATTTCGAAATAGGAAGCACCCACAAATATATAGACTACGAGCAAAGCGATCATGATATTTGTTGAAGTACATTTTCATGGATGTCGTTTAGTAAATTTCAATAAAAAAGTCCTACAACGTGAACCGTTTTTCAAATGAACATGAAATATTGTAGAAAGAATGTACGAATTTGGCGTTTTGAGTCGATTTTCCGACTTCACCGGTTAGCTGTGTCCTCCATATTTACGCCTATTATAATGCCCACTCTGGGGCAGGGGGGTAATAGAAACACGTGACGAACATGACCTATTCACCGTTGGTTTTCTCTGCCCGCCAGTCGAAACTCTTTTTAATGTATAGCCTTATAATAACGAAATAAGATGAAGAATTGGATTCTAAAGAACAAAAGGATGACAGGCTACTGTTTCTTTTCAATGAGCGCAGCCCGTTATAAAACACACGTTTCATGTTTTTAAGACCTTCGACCAGACAATGGAAGACATGCAAAATTGCTTAATGTAATCATGGATTAAAAAAACAAAATACAAGCAGCAAGATCTAAAAACTCGTTCAGCTCACCGTCTTACTTACAAATCTTTGGAAGAAGTACCATACGCCCCGAACTATTTTCAACTTTTGTTTGTGACAGGATTTCACAGTAGGCCAAACAACACCAAACGCGGCGGGCATTATCTGGGTCACAAAACAAAACGAGCGGGTTGCCCCACGTTGGGGCAGAGGGGGCGTCTCGCTTAACCGAGAGAGAGACTCGCCGTATAAAACGCTAAGGAGAAACGACCGCCCCCCCCCCCGCGTCGTCCAAAACTAAGAAGTTACAGGCGACCACGGCGTTCTTACTCCCTGGCGACACAAAAGATTAATTTTATTGGAGACGGCAGCCAACTTCGCTCAGGGACCTCGATCAAGCTTTTTTACACTGTTGCAGAAAAGTCACTAGAAATGTTACCAGCTTACTTCGAGTGCATCCTGTTTAATCTCAGTTGGCAAGATAGATTGAAAGGTATTTTGTCGTTGTTTAGAATACACAATTTGAAATACATTAAGCCAACGACATTCAGGTAAATAAAGAGTTATGAGCTCACTAGAGCTCTTATTAAGAGAAAAGTAATAATTCGGTGTCAAACAATAAGTAGAAACATTATCAATAAATGCAGAGGTAACACCAGAGATATTGCGGTAATCAAAAATGATTAAGGATCAACGAGGTATCAACCAATTAGTATATTTATGAATATATACAATATTAAAAATTATTCGTAAATTTTATCCCGTCTTCAGTAGCTCATTAGAGAAGAAATAGATACACTAATATAATTAACATATGAAATGATGTAAAACCAACAACCAGAAATAGATGAGATACGAAATAAACGAATATATCATATTTTATTGATTTTACATTGACATTCCGGGAACGGGTTTGTAAATCCAGGGAATGTCCTCTGAATATGAGGATGTTTAGTAACCTTCCAGAACGAGCTGATTCGAATTTGACAGCTGACAAAATTTGAATTACTCACTGGCGTGGCGATCATTCGCAATTTTAAGGTAAGTAAGATCATGTACTCTCTCATTACGTCTGAAGTTTTCATTGCTTTCAGAAATCAGACGAATAGCCAATTCTGATGAATGATCATTCTGTCTCACTGAATCTTTTGACCTATAAATATTTTATAACTTTATTCTCACGTAAAATACATCCTTTTTATTGATTTGAGATTCAGGGACAGCTAAAAAACAAATAAATGGGTTAAGTTATTGTGTCTCGTGCCAATTGCCACTAGGTAGCAAATACTTCATTATTTCATAGGTGGAGATCGGAATTTTCTTTTATAGAGTAATTTACCAGTGTATTTCCAGTCGAGTTTCTCAAATGACTACCACTCTTGCATACAAATTATTAGGAGATTTTTGGATTCGTGTTACAACTCAAAAAGTCCGAAGACTTTCCAAAATAACATTTTATCACATTTTAATAAATAGAAAAGATAATTAAATATGTTTTATGTAGCTTGCAAGGTGATATTATTAATCCTCGATTAATGGGAAACAAATAAAGTTGTGGAAAAATTAAATTAATCTATCCTGAACAAAAAAATGTTTTGTTTGCTACAGTAACGACTTTTAGTTCACTTACTACAGCGGTTACAATGGACCTTCATGGTCAGCTGAAGTGTGCGCTTGTTCATGTGTGTGCCCACACGTGTTGAGGATGAAGAGTGAAGGCAGAACACATGAGATATTGTAAATTCTTGTTAATCGTAAAATATGTTTTTTAATTATTTTTCAATAATTTAAACAAATAATTGTTTAGTGAATAAGCAGAGGAACACTTAATTTATCAATTTAATAATTAACAAATTAGGATATTCGAAGCAAAATACTTCCTTTATCACTAGACAAGACTCTCTTTTGACTACAACTAATAATAGGGCCACTCCACCTTTTTAAGGGTGAGAACCAAGTGCTTTTACATAAAGAGACCCTGGAAAAGGTACTGTTAATTGGAAGCTTGGAGACGAAGCTTAATGTGGTGAACCGACCCAGAACTAGTCCTAGAATTAGATGAAAGGGAACTTGAGAAGACAAGGAGAAAGGAATTGGAAGTAGTCGAGGAAGAGAGAGGAACGGTAAGAGAGTGAGGAGTGTGAGAATGGTGGATAAAGAGGAGAGACGTGAAAGCAAAAAATGAGGAAGAGAGTGAGGAGGAAGATTGTGAGAGGGAAGAGAATGAGGAGGAAGAGAGCGAGGAAGAACATAGAAGTGAGAAGCGAAGAGGGTAGTGTGAAAGAGAAGGATGGAAAGGGTTGAGGAGGAGAGAGGAGTGATGGGGGTTAGAGCGACAAAACAAGGAACGAGGGCGAGGAAAGCCGGAGGACAGGAAGCCAGCGCCGCCGGGTGGCATAGATACGCCGCGCCGGGCGCGTGGGCCCGGCAGATAGCCAGCGGGGCATATGGACGCTGGGGCGGGCCGGGCCGGGCCGGGCCGGCTGGCGCGCGGGCAGACGGGCTGATTATGGCGGGGCGGCGGTGTGAGCGGGGTGGGTGGGGAGGGGTTGGGCGGAGCGGGCGGGGCGGGGGGAGGGCGGGGCGGGCGCGCGGGCGGGCTGATTAACGGCGGGGGGCGGTGTGAGCGGTGTGGGGGGAGGGGTGGGCGGAGCGCGGGCGGGGCGGGCGGGACGAGCGGGGCGGGCGGCGCGGGGCGGGGCTAGGTAAGGCGCAGGGGGGGCGGGCGGAGCGGAGCGGGGCGGGGCGGGGCGGGGCGGGGCGGGGCGGGGGCGGGGCGGGGCGGGTGGGGGTGGAGTGGTATGGTAGTGAGGGTGGCGGGGGCGGACAGAGCTCGTTAGGCGCCGGAGCCGCGCCGCATGCAGGGCCGCAGCCCTCGGGCGAGAGGACGCGCGGCGTTTAGCACTCATTGATTTCCTGGCCGTTGCCTCGACTTCCCGCCGCCGCCGGCCCAGCGCCGTCTCAGCGCGCGAACCCCGCGCTCGCACACGACGACCAACGTTTGGAGTGAGCGCGTTTCAGGCTGTTGGGGCAATTTGGTGCAGAATATTAAGCCCTAGGTTATAAAATCAAGAAGTACGATTCCCCTAAGTGCTGAAATATCGAGCTCGTAATATTAACTTTAGAAATGATCTCGTGCATATTCTTCGTGAATATTTAAAATGCATTTCAGATTTTAAATATTATTTCAAATAGCGGTGGCAGTTCCCAGAGAAAGCTGGGAATATGCCTTGTTTTTCTCAGTCAGCACCAGATATTATTGTTTCCTTGTTTAGAATGAAACACGCCATGGTTCTTTTCATGCGTTGAAATTAAGAAAAATATTGAATTATTGCCTGACAACTATGGTATTTCGCGAAAAATTTCTCATTGTATTTGTAAACATCCATTCAGCCGTATGTGTTAATCTTTGCTCTAGTGTGTTGGTTAGTCATATTTTTCATTAGAAGAGGAATTGTATGTTCTTGGTTAAAGGAAAATTTATCGGCGGAAAAGGAAAGGCGGGTTTTAATAGTGACAATTTTTAGTTTAGATATTGAGCGTAACAATTATTTCATATTTTCTAATCACTTTCTCATTACGTTCAACATATTTTAAATAGTATCGAATAAAAAAAATACAAACTCAGACAATGGGGAACGTTATTTGCACGTCCAGGCCCAGCATATTTTGCTGACTTCTGTGATTTCAGTCCAGTATTGGCTGTGATAGCAAATACGGTTGGAGTTGCACTAGTTTACCGAAAGACAACTTATTACTATTATCGAGCGTTACATGAAGCGGTTGAAAAAGTGCGGCATAAGTCTTTGTGATCCCACAAAGT